ATTGTTTAAATCATGAGACAAATTATAAGAGATTGTTTAAATCATGAGACAAATTATAAGAGATTGTTTAAATCATGAGACAAAGAAATCCTTGTGCCAATTACTGATGAATCTCGAAACACAAATCATGAAGACGCTAGAACAATTAATTTAAAACAATTGATGTAAATGAATGAAATTGGAAACCATGTGCAAATCCATATATGGAAGAACTGTTTTATGTTCACAATCTTGTTATGATGATTTTCTGTCAAATACAAGGCCATTTTATTGATACAGTATCATAACAAAATTGGTTGTGGCTTTAAAAATAAGAGATTCATTTCACCTCACTGTATGAAACAGATGATATACATAAGACTGAGAGAGACAAAATGGGTTCTGTTCCAGAAAACGATTGTTAGAATTTGTCTCCCATTTGTTCGATTCTAATTAACTGGTGGCCATGTTTTGAAATGGGTTTTGACCATTCTGAGAGGTGAATCTAGATGACATTCAAGGACGAATGTCATGGCAAGGGGAGGAGTGCAACAGCTTAGGTATTTGGTACCACTTACTAAATAGCTTAGCTTGTCTGGACTGTTTAGTCTAGTAATATGTAAGACCTGGACTGCTAAAAACAGAGATCAGTCTCTCTGCCAGGATATAGATTGCATTCATTAGGTCATCTGCTAGCACTAATTCATTGTTGTACCTGTGACACTTTATTGATTTTACCAGTATATGTATGATGTCCATTTTGGGGCCTCAGTTTTCAAGAGATGCCTCTTCACTCACCCTCAAGCCTCTGCCATCCAGGAGACATGTTCAGAGTAATGGTTTCTCACTCATAAGTGCTGCAAGTGTAGTGGGCGACCATCATTGATATTTTTCTTCAACTACTTTGCAGATAGTGCAGGAGATGTTGACTTCACTACCTTAATCTACAACCAGTGAAAGTGGCTTTAAAGTTTCCTCATCATTATTAGATCTCACATGGATCAGATCTTACATGGATCAGATCTTACATGGATTAGTGAAACTCCTCTTTGCAAGATTGAACTGAAGTTCTATGCCACTGAACATTAACCATCTAGACTGTTCATTGGGATAACCTGGCTGAACAAGAGACACCAATTGAACTGCTCTCAGGAGCTTCATTAGTTCACCTATTATACGAGTCCTACCTCACTATTTTGGCAGTCGGCAGACAGAATCAATATATTTCTGAGTGGACGCATCTCCTTTCATTTCTAAAATGATGGATCAATATGACTCACGTTGCTCACCCCACTTGCAAGGGCATTATTAAGTCACCTTTCTTGCAAGATTTGCTTCCTCATATACATTAGTAGTAACAGCAGGCAGAATCAGTGAAATATATGCCTTATCAGTGAAATATATGCCTTATCAGTGAAATATATGCCTTATCAGTGAAATATATGCCTTATCAGTGAAATATATGTCTTATCAGTGAACCTGAATTAAAGCTGGGTCAGTTTCATTCATGACAGTGCCTTCTTTCTTCACCAAGAACCAACTTATGTCCATGGGTAATCAGACATTTGTAATTAAATGACTATTTGCTCTGGACACTTAAGCTTAAGACCACCTCCTAGATCCAGTACAAGCTTTAAAGTGGTATCTTAAAATGACAGTCATTTTGTTGAGGAAGATTCCACTTTTTTTTACCTCTTGAAGATATATCAGCTTAGACCCTTTCATTAAGTACAGGTACAGTCCTAAAATTGACAACCTCTCTGCATTTACCAAAACTAGGTCTTAATTAAATTCACAGTAGGGTCCTTTGCCTTAGAGCATCTTCTGGTTCCAGTGATGTGTATTAGATAGCCAGGTGAACATATGCTGTTGATGATAAAGCATGCCAGCAATTTTACTTGAATGATTAACACACAATTCATAGTTCAACAAAACATCCAAAAATTTATTGAGAATTTTTTCTTGTCTTTGTATCTGTATTACATACTGTTTGATAATTGTGCACATTTCATTGACTTGCCATTCCTGTCTTCGAGTAGGATAAATCTTTGCCTCTCTTTGTGATTCTGGCAGCAGTGCTTGTTCTATAGACTGTACATGACTTGCATTTAGAATTTATTGAAAATAAAATTAGAATACAAAATAATGAATGAAACTAAAATTTTGTTATACTAGTACTTATTTATGTACTTCTACTGTTTGTGATCATGAGTGAAAACTTGCAGATGTTATCTGTTTTAAATATAATGGCAGGTGGTCAAATGGTCTTAGTCACTTGCCTTTAAAGATCCCTGGCATCTCACCTAAGAGAGTTTGGGTTTGAGCCATGGGATCAGCTATTTGAGAAAGCATGCCATTAGTTTCCCATGGGTTGGTGCTTCTCTCACAGTCTTACAGGATTCTTCTCACATCAAATATACCAGACTGTCATGTGCTGAAAAATGGCATTAAACCTATAACAATGCCAACAATAAAATATATTAAGACTTAAACATCGAGTTTAACATTTGACTTAAGAGTAAAACTTTCAAGTAGCATAGGATATTAATAAACCCAAAATACTTATCCCTTTCATGATTTGGAAGGAAATGAACAATGAAGTACATTGAGGCAAGCTGGGCCCATCAAAACATGTATTTTTTATCTTTCTTTTTCTTCCCTCTCTTTTTCACAAATCTGAACTGTCACTCTGTTGTGATTGTGTGGCTGAAACTTGACAAAATGAATTGCTATTTGTGTATTCCACAAAAAAAATGAAGCAATCTGTAATGTTGACTTTAAATTTATAGTTCTTTTTCTTCAATCATGAATATGAAATAATTGAAACTGGACAGGAGCATACAATGTAGTGATATATATATATATATATATATATATATATATATATATATATATATATATATATATATATATATATATATGATGAAGCAATAAAGAGAAACCAGTCACACATTCTACATGTTGGTGTTGTTTATTTTATAAAATATATATATATATATATATATATATATATATATATATATATATATATATATATATATATATATATATATATATATATATATATAGGGAGAGAGAGACAACCCCTGTAAGCACATTAGCATGCATTTATTGATGACTATAAATGATATAATGCATGACTGAAAAAGTATTGCAGAAAATGATGAGATAGACAGTAAAAGATGATAATATACTTAACATGGAATAGGTAATGAACAATACATGAAGAGATAATGAATGTTAAATTATGTTATTTTAGCAAAAATGCAGATGCTGAAGAAATGATACCTGGATGTTTCTCAGATTGTACCAGGAATCTATGGCCAATCAGATGAGACTGAATGTATGTTTGCATATTTAGAAACAATTTACTTGGTGTAATTCTGTATTTACATAATAATTATATTTTATTATCCCTCTTTCCAGGTTTTACTGGACAGATCATTAACAGCTGCAGTCTGGGTGTATGGACTGATAGGAATATTCTGTGCAATTTGTGCAATCATGTTACCTATAGAAACAAAGGGCAGGGCACTTCCTGTAATTTACTTTTTCATTATTTTTAAATATTATTTGTGAACTCTTATTGTATTCAAAATGATCTACCAAAATGACCAGAGGAAGAAATAAATATTTTTCATTTCCAGTCTTGAATTTGCTGTAGATCAAAGATTTTTTTTAAAAAAATGAACACAGAAAATTATGTGTAAAATATATGTACGGTAAAGTTCAGCACTCCTAAATAAGGAATACATGCAATTCATTTAATTTCTAACTCTATTTTGTCAGTTTAATTTGAAACTAATTCAATAAAGTAATGAAGCATGTGTAAAAAAGTAGTGTCACCAAGCCTTTGAATTTCATGTTTTTTTTTTGTTGTAGCAAACATTTGTAAAGACAAAGCGTAATTTTTTATTATTCTACAGTTCTTTAGGTTATACTGTATTTGTCTTTAAAATGTTTTTCTTTTCATTTCAGCAAACAGTTCATGTAAGTGCATGATGCTGTCAAGAAACTGGTTGCTGTGAATATTTTCCTACCCAACCAAGTGTTATATTATTTCAGATTTTTATAATCTTAGAAATACATTTTACTTCATGAGTAGGATTTTAAACACTAAATTACTATATGCATATACTTTTGGTATCATTTTTGGAAGATATTTTTGGAATTTATTTTGTTAAGCACTTTTTTAGCTAACCAATTAAATGATATATCAAGTTGTATCAAAACAGTAAGTATAGCTAACTTTAAAAGTAAAAATATTTATTTACTGAAAAATTTCAGTTTTCAGGAAACCTCAGAAATTTACATATTACTTTCATTTATTGCTGTCAAAATATTTTTTACTGTTGGTATGCATTTTTATTTAGGATAGTATTTTAGTCATCAGAATTATAAATCACAGATTTAATAATCAAATTTTTTGGGGAAGGTAATGTTAAGAGTAATTAGTCTAATTCAGTGGTTCCCAAAGTGGGCAGTACCACCCCCTGGTGGAACGATGGGATTATTGAGGGGGGGGCGCTAATATAGATTAAGGCATTTTATGGGGTAAGGTAGGGGTTGCTGAGGATAACCAAGTGGGTGGTGGCCCAAGAAAGTTTGGGAACCACTTGTCTAATTTTGGATATGAATATAATACAATTATAAATATATGTTCCTTGTTGCTTATTGTTAACAATAACCATATTAGTAATAGCTTGCACAATTTTTGTTTTATTTTTAACTTTATGGTATACAGCAGAGTGAAATAAATTTTGAAATAAATTGTTTCAGTATTAAATTTGCACACACAAATTTGCACACACAACTTTGTTTACATTGTGGCAAAAGTTGCTATATTATATATCTTGTATCATTTTTTAACAATCAGATAAAAAGTAATTTAAGTTCATTGTGTACTTTTGAATAAGCCAGGAGCCATGATTTATTTATCACTCCATTTTGAAAAGAGCCATTAAATGAATAAAACAATTGTATGAAATTTGATACCATGAAGAGCCTTTTACCTCGTTTCTGACTGCTTTGGTTGCCTAGTGGTTAGAGCATCCACCCTGGATGCAGGAGGTTGTGGGTTCAAACCCCGACCAAGTCATACCAAAGACTTCTAAAAATGGTACTAACAGCTGCCTCGCTAGGCCCTCAGCATTAGAATGTTGGTGTTAGGACTGGTCAGCCTGGTGTCAGGACAATGTGACTGGGTGGGACATCATGCTACATGTCTGCGGCATGATGCCCCAGTGCTAGACATCACTTTAAACTGCCATACTGTAGATATTGTAGTGATATAGCTGAAAATTTGTTAAAGCTGTTTAAAAAAATGTAAATCACACTTCCTCATTTCCAGTCTGTCCCTATTTATCCTGACACTGCTACTTTGTAAGAATTTTAGCCAATTATATTTTCAGGCTGTTTGAAAAAATTTAGAGGAAGTTTGGAATCTGTTTTGGACTTAGTTCTTACATATTAATTGTATCATAATGTTGTATTTTTAGAACTTGTTTACATATAACCTAGTCTTGCATATAATTTATTTTTGTCTGTTAATATAATTATTTTGAGATAGTCTAATCTTCCATCTATAGGCCTGACTTCATATATCAATTCAATGGAAACCTACCATATCCAATCACAAACTATACAGACCCATGGTATCATGTCTGAGACTATGCAGTCTGTGAGGTGTAATCAGTAGAACAAACAGCATAGACTGTGATATGATGGCAGATCAAGATCTGTGTTGTTTGCATTTGGACTTGTCAGCATTCATGCTATTCCATTTCACTTCTGGAATACGACTATAATTTGTGTTAAAAAGCCAAAGAATTGTGCAGTTTGCCAAAAGAAGAGATTTTCAAAAGATTATACAAATATCTATTTCTTATAAGTTGAGTACAACTGCAAACAACATAGGCCCTGATCTGTCATCACATAATGTTCCAGCAGATCATGGTCTATGTTGTTTGTTCTACTGATTACTCTTAATAAGCTGCATAGACCCAGATTTGCTGGTATATTATGTGATGGTAGATCTTTGTGTATGCAGTTTGTAGTTGGACTAAACATTTAATCAAGCGTATTAGATACAGCACCAGTTTTAACACTCTACCATGACAGCAATAGGGACATGTTACCCTTGTGTTTCAGTCATACCTTGGTTCAAGTTTACATTTACGTCATGGCATGTAGAGGGGCATCTGTGTTCCATGAACACATTTCTGGTTTTAAAGAGAATATCATGGGTAGCAAGAAATAATATTTTGCTATTAACCTTGACCAGAGTTTCAAATTCATGCACTGAAATATAAAAGCAACAAAGTGGTATATCACTTTAAATCCCCTCATAATACTGGGACTTCTGAAATAAGGCAGTGTTGTAATGAATCCCATTTAATTGTCTATCTTGATTTAAGTTTATTTTTATTAATTTATTTCATTAAATTTTAGTTTTGGCTTATAAGAACTGATTACAAGAAGTGTGCCCAGTTACAGGACTCCCTTATAGTGAGATTGTCTTATAATGAAGTACTTTTCATATATAATTTTACTACTACATGTTCATGATAAAATGGGATTGGTGACCATATATACCTTACAGCAGGAGACATGTTATAATGAAAAGCCTTATAACAGGGGAGTACTGTATACATCACCTTATACAAGGAAATATGTTATAATGGCTTTATAGTGATGGAGTGTTGTATCACCCACTTTATAACAGGAAATGTCTTATAATGAAGGTGTTAAAATAAGAGGGTGCTTTATCACTATTCTTATAATAGGAAACATGTTATAATAATGGCCTTGTTGTGAGTGCTATATGACACCCCCATAACAAGAAATATGTTATTATCGACAGTGAGTAAATATTGAATGTACCCTTATAACAGGAAAAATGTTATAATAAAGTGCTTTACATGGAAAGAATGCTGTATTACCCACCTTACATTAGGAAATGTTGTAATCAAGTCCCTTATACTGAGGGAATAATGTATTACCCACCTTACAATAGGAAACATGTTATAATTGCCTTAGAGGGAGGGAATGCTGTATCAGCTACCTTATAGCAGGAAATATAATGAAGGGCTTTATAGTGATGGAATGCTTTATCACCCACCTTATAGCAACCAGGCTTGGTCATACCAAAGACTTACACAAATGGTACTAACAGCTCCTGTTCTTGGTGCTCAGCATTAAGAGATTAGTGTTAGGACTGGTCAAACTGGTGTCAGGATAATGAGACAGGGTGGGACACAATGCTACATGACTGCGGGATGATGCTAGACATCACTATAAACTGCCACACTGCAGCTATTGTAACAATATGAATGAAATATTGTTAAAGCTATGTTCAAAATCCAAATCACACCCATACATTAATAGCAGAAAACATTATAATGATTGGCTTTAAACAGAGGGAGTGTTTATTTGTAACATGCCTCAAAATTCTATTGAACAGATTTATAATAAGATGTTAACTATTAAACACTATATGTTAGAATTAAATAAAAGCAGGGTTTAGTTCTTTATACCACTCTTTTGACTCATGAACTCACTTATAATACAGAGGCAGGAGGGAAACCAATTTTTTCTTATAGAACAGGACAAAATTATGTTATAATTACCCAACACAAAAACTTTGGAGTATAATTTGGTAAATTAAAGTTTAATATATATTGTTTGCTTTATTGTTGAAACAGCAGTTAGTACATGGACACTTTTGGAATTTTCATTATAAAATTTTCACATTTTAATAAAGAATAATATTTACAGAAAATTCTGAATAAGTATATTGATATATGAAAAATATTATTCCTTGAAATTCATGATAAATACCCGACTGGTCGCAAGACTGCAAGAAATAAATAACAATTAAAGAAGTCTCATCAAGCCCTTGCTGCAGTCAGTGTGTATGGGCCTTGTTACTTGTGAGTTGTCAAAGGATGGGTAGTTTTAGAAACTGCATATAAGATTCAATAATTTGATGCATGTTATTAACATATTTTTATACAAAGATACATATTTTAAGCATTGTTTTCTTGACTCACTTAAATTTATTTGGAAAGTTTATATTTAGTATACTGTTGATATTTGTACATGATTTAGAGGATTTGTAGAGACCTTATGAATGATCTGAGATTAGAAATTTGATTCTATCAATTTGGGAATGCAGTACAGTGTATTTGTATCTTAGTACATGTACATTTATGTTAGTATATGGAAGTAAAGTCTGTTATCAATACTTTTCATTTAGAGCTATTTTCAGATACAAATTTAGACAATTTATATTATTCATAGTTTTTGCTATAGTTAAATATTCTTATATATATATATATATATATATATATATATATATATATATATATATATATATATATATATATATATATGTGTGTGTGTGTGTGTGTGTGTATGTAAAGCTAGTTTTACACTACTGTAGTATTACTTATTTTCATGGGGTACCAGTAGTTTTGGATTTTGTCCCCAAACTTTGAATTTAAAAACCCAACAAATCATTAATTGCATAAGATGAAACTCTCTTTACCAATTTTCTTTCTGTTTCATTCCTTGAGCTATTAGATAAATCAGTCATTATTGTAATCAGATGATATAGTATTAGCTTTTGTTTGTTTTAGTTTGATCCCTTGGATAAAAAGAATTATAAAATACTTTATGTTGTTTCAAAGCACATGTATCTATACATTGTCTGGCAGTTATAATTTCCACCTGCTGCCTTAAATCAGTATGTTGTGAGACATTTAAATATAGAGAGAAAAGTGAAAAGTGAAAAAAGTACATGCAATCTAAACACTAGTGTTACTGAAAATGAAAGAATAAATAGTAATGAAAATTATATTACTTATCTATTCTGATTGCTCCTACTGTTGCAGACGAATTTAAATTTTCCAGAAAGCACTTCTATTTTTATCCATGTATTTTTAATACAAATAAACAACAATACTAAAAATGCTAGATTCATTGCTTGAAGCACAATCATTCCCAAAAATTTACAAAACCTCTTTAGCAACAGTCAGTGGGGTCTCCTGGTACACACAATGCTTGTAAGGTAATTAATGCTAAAATTACAGAGCTAAACAAATCCAGCTTTCTCAAAGCTGTGGATAATAACTCACTTCACTCATTGTCGCATGAATTGCAAGTATTCATTCAGCATGAATCCATTTGATTAATGAGGTTGCAGGTCTGTTAATATAGTACCACCAGTTATGTATTTTATGGACAGTGGTTTAAAAAAGGTTATACATATGTTGTTTAATAACCATTTGGCGTAGTGTGTTCTTGGCTGTGTTGGCTTTCACTGATGTTGAGCACTCAGGTGAGTTTGAAAAGTTTTTAATTTATATTCTTACATGTGATAGTATTTTTAACTGTTCAATTTGCTGCTGGCAGAGTTTTATTATTTTGTATTCTTTATTTTTGGTATTGGTGAAATACCTACAGTCGTGCAAAATTTACTGGCAAAACTGAATTTAAGAACATACAAAAGTCTTTTATATAACAAAAATAAAATTTAAGACCCATGAAAATAAATGACACTACAGCATACTGAAGCAATAAATTTTAAAAGGTAGAAGTATTACCTAAAAATGTTATTCTGACTCAGCATTGAAAGAGATGAAAAACATATCATTTTATTAAGTTAACTAATCAGTTTGGTGAAGGTATGTATTTATTATTTGCAGCTTTGTTCCAAACTTGTGATTTTTACTACTTATATGATGTATTTTTTAATTGCTTTCTTTGTCGAAAGCTCACCATTCATCTACAAGTTAAAATCTAACGGATTATATGAAAATGTCTCCATGTTGTTGTTGAATTTTTGACATTGACCTCGTTGTTTTAGCTCTATTTGTCATCAATCAGAAGAACTTGTTGGATTGCCATGATACTTTATGGACACACATTGTTCCCTTGAGATCTTATTCATAAATGAATGTTGTGCTGATCTGACCTCCAAAATCTTATTAATCACTACACCTCCAGGATGGATGGCCATATTGACCTTTTTTTTTTTACAAAATATTTAATGATGTCTGGTTGGTCCAAAATGAAAATTTTACAGACGCAACATCC